TTTTGGAGGACTGCCCAGAAGAGATTAAATTTTTTTTTAAATACAGTATATTCTTACACACGAGTATTTTGAGTTTAATATCTTTGTTATTTGTAAGTGCTTGTCTTATTGAGCATAATTTTCTAACAGTTGCAGAAAATTCTTAAGATGTGAGAGAATATAATGTGTGAAGAGGTAACTATGATAATTTTCAGTGTAATTCTCATGATCAGTAATTATACTCACTTACAGTACTTAATTATTTTAAAATATACGCTTCTTGCAAATTTGTGCATTATAACACAACAGGCATATTCCATCAGTTTCAAGAATCGTCCTTAAAAAGTTAGATATATGAGAAAGGGTTACTACACTATACCCATAACTATTGTCTGTTGTCTTATTATAAACCACAACAAAAAATAAATAGCATAGAGTTTTTAAGACTACCATTATAAAAGAATGAAATTAAAAAAAACTATCCAAAACCCATTAGTCATTCACACCATTTTTCTCTTTTGAGGACATACCCGGTATCCAGTATTAATGACCATCCCATAAAATTTCATAAAACAAATAAAAAGCAAAGGCATTCCCTTGCCAAAGCCTAAGATCCTGAAAAATGGCTACTCTAAATGTGGGTAGGAATTTGAAATACATGCCAGTAGTTCTCTAAGCTAACCCTTTGTTTTGATGGCATCACTGGTGTGTACTTCAGGTTAAGAGAGCAGCTTGTGTAAATGCAGGTTTGGTAGGGCCACAATGGTTAACATCCATGTCACGGACTTGAGGGTAGACTCACATTTTTAATAAATTTGTTTCCGATTATTTGAGAGGATTTTCTAATTATTATTTATTTGTATGTATTTTTGGGTACATCCCGGGTGTCATCCGCGAATAATAGAGAACCGCGAAATAAAAATCCGCGAACTTGGGGGGCCCCTGTACTCTCTTAAAGGTGGGGAGGGAGTGGGGTGCCATGTTCACCAGTTTGTTTTTACTTATTCTTTAAATTCTCGTATGATCAGCCTCTCATGGTGTGTTTTATCATTAATAATATAAAATATTAAATAATAAAATAATACAAAAAAATATGATAGCTGTGGGTTTATATAACTTCTGGTTTGACTTCAAAATAAAGGAGACCGAGATGGACTGCAGCAGGTGTGTGCCATCTGCTGGCTGGGAGGATGATGAAGGGAGGTGGGGTGTCAATTAATTTGAGTATAAACATCCTTTAGTTTGCACCAGACATAAAATTTTTAGTAATTAACTTTGTACAAGTAGTACAGCGGTAAAGCGCATAACTCTCTCCCAATATGTCAAGGGGTCGAGCCTCGGCCCAGACACACGTGAGAAGGGTGTTATCCAGTGTGACTCTCACTACCAAACACCACAGGTTTCCCGGTCCCGGGTTTCCTCCTGTACTAACACTGGATAAATCGCCCAAGCGGCTAGTAAGCTGATAAGTGGCGATTATTAAAAAAAAAAAAAATAAATAAATAAAATAAAAAAACATATATATATATATATATGTAACCGGTCGGAATTTACTGGACTTTAATTTCCTCACTTGGCTTGGGGTTTATGAAAGATTATTAGATGGTAATGGCAGTGGAAGCACTCCTTAGTGAGAAATCCCGAACCAGCACAAGAGCACTTAAATTTACTAGCAAAATGAATTGTCCGTGACCCGTGGAAGGATAGCGTCTGTGACTGGGATGAATGAGACACACTGTAAAATTTACACTTATATTCCCTCCAACACTACAAACACAATCAAATAATGGTACACCAATATGCGCACCTCTTAACTTGAACTTAAAACACTACTCTGGGGAATAAAAGTTATACATGATATTGAAATTATTAGAAACTCAGGCAACAATAAATTTAAAGTATTAAGAAATGTTGCTTGCACACATGAAACAGGCCTTAAGGGTTTTCACAGAATAATATCCACCACTGCGGAAGTGGTATAAAAATAAGAAATTATTAATTCCACCATGAATAGGCCTAAAGGGCACTCAATATAATTATGTTACACCAACAGATGCACACCTCCTAACCTAACTTAAACACTACTCTGGGGAACAAAGGTTATATCTGAGATTGAAACTATAAAGAAATTTTAAATGCACACAGCATACATTAGTAACTGAAAAAATAGTATTAACTACACACAAAAATATTGTCACTATTATAAAGACGTTACTGAGTCCAATACCCGTGAACCATGCTCCCTAACCTAACACACACACAGATTCCACCTGCACTCCGTAGTCGTTTAAGGCACAACCAACAGGCACCCGTAGTTGAAGGCCCAAATCAGCCTTTCTCCACCTTGGAAAGTGTACCTCTAAACTCCACTGACTCTTGGCCCCAGTGTGCGACCCTGTATCACTCAGCTAGCTTCACTTTACCCCCCAGTACATCCATAAAGCGGAAGGGAGTGAGCCAATCAGACCTTGTACAGTTGAGAGAAGCTTTAGCTTCCCGTTAGCAAGAGGGTTTCACTAAGCTGCTTGAAACATGTGGTATTGTGAGCCGAGGTAGAGGAGAGCTGATGACCCCAACGATCGTCCCGTCGTCAGCTGGGCACCCAGACGGCTAGATTCCCTCAAGAGATCCTTTGATACCCCGCTAAACAGTGACAGGCCTACACTGATCGGTCCAATGGCGACAATCGCCACCCTCAATCATCAACGGCAGTCTCAAACGGCAGTCAATCTCTCGCAGTCAAGTGGGTTCTGGCGGAAACCCTGAAATGAACTCACTGTTAGCTCTAGTTAACTTTATCACTGCCCTATCTAAACCCTGTCTGAGATTGAATGAGACTTACTTGTTATACTGCAATAGCGCAGCACAGGTGACTAGACCACGTGACTATTTCTGTGGACAGACGCGCAGGGATGTCCTGTAGGTCCAATCGCTTTCACGTGACTGAGGACCAGCCAGCGTCGCGTCCTCTCAAGGCATTAGCTTAGGCCTACGTGACATATTTTCCGTCTAACTAATAACTCCTTGGGACACCCGTAACATTATTCAGACTGATAAACGATCTATAATAATTCCAAATTCAATAATAGTCCCTTAACTTCATGAATCGCATCATTATTAATTCGGCAAATTACATTTAATATCACTTAGGCCTAGTTCCACAACCTCTCGCTATGTGCAGGGAGCGCTCTCTTCCCTCCGACGACCTTGAACCTATATACAACATGTATATAGAGAGCACATTGTGAGTTTCCTTTCTCCATTCCATCCTGAGTGTGAACCAAACATCCTGAACGCTACAAGCTTATCGCGTGGCAACACTGGTGCATGTTACAACTCCTTTCCACTCTATCTCTCTAATCACTCACACCTTTCTGCTTTCTCACTCCATCTTTTAAAATGTTACGCAATGTAATGTTGAAGGGATACAACTTTGCTCATTTAAACTTATACTTATCACAATCTCCCTAAAAAAAACTTTAGCTTTTGTGTTTATTCAAGATATCTTCAGGTCATGAAATCCACTAATCCCCCACCCAAGAAAGGGTGACCTGACATTCCATTAGGTCAGTAATACGAGACCACTAATCCCCCATCCTACCTCCACCTGACATGGAGTCAGGTCAGGTCAGGTCAGGTCCGTCCCCTCCCCCCACCCCGAAAAAAAATACTTTAACTTTCATCTTTATTCAACCTCGGAAAAAATTTTCCTAACGATGGAAATTTTTGGAAAATTCCAGCATTGGGAATGATTTTCAGAGCAAATTGCAATGCCGACTATCGGAGATTTCTGGGTTTGAGGGATTCTGGTGGCTAACGGAAATATTACTGTATACTCAGATCCACCTATGACCCACATAGCGATAATCATGTTGTGAGATATATTTCATTATTGTTCTGAATACAATTCAAACATTATTGATATTTATGTAAGCCATCAACATTCTACCCTCGCATCAACAACATTGATGTACAGTATATACAAGTAATAATAATAGATTCATATGCCATTAAACACCCAGTAATAGTAGTAGAGTACATTATTAGTAAAACTGGAAAATCTAGCCACTTTTCTAGTGCTATTCATAAAACTCGAGTGGAAAACTAGCGCCTACTTAGAAAAAATCTGGCAACACTGCTGTCCCAGCTGCATAGACTACCAGGCTATCCATCCGGTGAGAGCCGAATAGCCACTGCATTTTAAAAAAGCCCCCACAGGTGATGGGAGTCTTCAGAGGAAGCATTTCTCACTAAACATAAGCCAGAAAGTTGACATGTTGAAGTGCGTATAGAGTTGAGTTATACTCTAGGCCCTGTGCTCCAAAATCCATGATTCCCGAATAAGGGAGCCCATATCTGCTACAATTAACAGTGCAGAGTTCCACCAATTACAGCCACTCCTCGACTTACGACGACGGGGTTAGGGACCCAAATCCAGGTCATAAGTCGAATTGGTCGTAAGTCGAAAATGCGAAGATAATACAGTACATAGAAAATCTAAAATGGGTGTCTCTCTTTCTTCTCGGCACCACGAGAACTCTCACTTTTAAGCATCCCAACCATTTTAAAGGGAATTACAAACGAAAACTTTGTCAGTACACATCGCAATCACTTACGTCGGGACTCGAAAATACGTAATTTGAAAAAATTTTGGTATGACTGGGGCGGTCGTAATGTATGGGTGGTCGTAAGTCGAGGAGTACCTACATATATATATTTATAATTAGCTTTTTATATTTTATTTTTTTAAATGCATATGATTTCATCCTCAGAAACTCGTTCTTAGGCCCAGAATGGAGAAAAATTTTCTGGAAGACTCAAAATTCATTCCAGTTATTGGAGAGTTCAGGGAACTGGAGATTACCACTAACAGGGATATACAGGATAACTGTATCTCTTACTTTTACTGTACCATTAATATTGTATACAGCTGTAGTTCTTTCCACCATTTAAATTTCATAATTTCTATTAAATGGAGCTTGGACAAACACATTTAACAGGAAAGATTGAAAACAACTGAATGTTATGATAGTATCTTTAAAAGAATCAATTTATTGTCTACAAATATTTAACATTAAGAACTAGAATTATCTTTCATTATTCTGCTATTTCTTCATCTTCAGATTCATTATGAACATCATCAGTATCATCATCCATTTCTTCTCCATCATTTGACTCTGCAGTATGAGGTGAGGTACAACCTTCAGGTGATGTTACTCCCGTCTCTAAAAACTGCGTGGTGAATCTTCTTAGTTTGAGGTTTGATAAGTAGCGTATCTCTCCTGACCAAGACTTGAAAATTTCCAGGGCTTCTGGATTTATGAAGTCCACAGTTTCTAAGATGAAATAAATGAATAAGAAGATGAATGATCAAATTGATATACAGGATATGATATGGTGCAGTATATGATTTGCAGTCTGAAAATTCCACAATTCCAAAACTTCAAAATTTGAATGCCAGAACAGTAAAAATTCCTGTCTAAATGGCACTAGATGTGTCTAAGATTGTCACTGTTTTCTGTGTTTATCTCACTTATTTTTGTGTTTTTTAGCACTTAATCTGACCTTATTATTATTGTCCATTAAACATCAAACTGAAGATGACAAGTGTAATGGTGTGTTATGCTTACCATCATATAGAATGTTGAAATTCATCAAAAATTAGATCAAGGCAACTCAGTGTGTAACCTAAAGGAGCATTGTGGTGTTAACACAACAATATACAACATGAAGAAGTAACTTGACTAACTGCTGCACTTTTATTTGGAGAATGATCCAAGTAAGTGCATTGTGAAGTGTAGAATCACACAAAACTAGATCAGTTAACCTCAATTATTTTCCAGTGAAATGATATATGAAACATATTCTACAGTATTCTCTGATAAAACAGCTTTAATGAGGTTTATTCCGTTACAGAAGCTCTGAAGGTCCTGTAGGTCACAGCCTCCAGATACAATATGGCAGATACTTTGTTTTAAGTATCACTACAGAGAGGACTTACAACCTTGAGGATCGATTAACAGAGTTAGCTGCTCTATTAAAACTTATTACCAATATAGAAAATTTAAAAAATAATTATAGAATTATACATAACAATAAGGGTATATTTATTACCAAGGCCTGAGCCAGAAAACTGGTTCATCTCCCTTTCTCGTGTGATTCTTATGTGGTCCTCTCGACTGGCATGCTGCCGTGATGCCCGACCACCAATCTTGTGCTTCAACTGTATTTGTTCAAGCTCCTCAAGATTGCGATCAATATATCTACAAAATAAAAAAAAGAAGCAGCATTAAATAATGCTTAACTCAAAAATTAGAAGTACTGTACAGTTGTACCCAGCTTTACGCGGTCAATTGAACCCAGAGGGTACCGCGTTAAGTGAACAACAGAACATATGGGATTAATTCCAATAGAGACTGGCCCGACCCCCAAACTCCACTTTTTGACGACACACAACTATGTTGTCGTAAAAATTTTATCTTAACTTTATGATGGTATGAACAAACAAGTAATATAGAAGAGGTTAGGTTAGGAAAAATAAAGGTTAGGTTAGGAAAACTAAAAGAGTAGGTGTAACACTTACGTTAGTAGAAGACACACACTGCGCAACCTTACAGCGCGGCTTGCCCAGGCGGAGGGAGGCGGAGGCGGGAGGGGAGGGAGGGAGGAGGAGGGAGGGAGGAGGAGGGAGAGGCGAGGCAGGCGGCAGGCGGGAGCGGGTGGGCGAATCTAAAAATAGCGTCTCGAGTCGGACACTCTGCGCGTATATGGGTAGATGAACCGCGTCAAGTGAAAGTTCGGTTCTGGCGAGGCACCGCGTATATGAGAAATCGCGTTAAGTGAAACCGCGTAAAGCGGGGTACAACTGTACCATATTTTATGGCATATAAGATGCCTTTTTTGTTTGAAAAATGGCTTAAAGAATCAGCTTCTTTCCTATTATGAAGTTGCAGTCTCCTGAAAGCCAATGAAACCCCCAGTTGCTGTCTACAGTAGGCTAAATTCTACCCCGCCCACATTACAGGTATTATTACATTTAATTAATAAAAAAAAGAATTAATTTAAGTATAAAAGCTGGATTTTTTCATCTAGATTGTATACAAATGATGTTTGATGAAGCACAATTGTTAAATAACATAGGAAAATATAGCTTATGGATGCTGGGAAAGGAGTTACATGAGTTGCGAGTTTGCCACAGCCTTTTGACTTTTTTTATATACAGGTAGTCCCCGACTTACGACCGACTTTACTCTTGTAGATACCAAACATATTGTAAAAAATGAAAAGATTATGGATATATAGTACAGCTATACCCTTTAATACAGCCTTAAAACCTGGCTCACTCTTCTCCTCTTAGGTAATGTTTGTTCTATCTGGAATTTTCTTCAAAATAATCCAGTCTCATCCACATTAAACACCTGTTCTGGCAGGTAACCCCCCTCATTGATGATGTTTGTATCTCTGAAAGTTTATAAGTTGAACATTCTTAAGTAGAGGAGCACCTGTAGTAATTTTTTTTTCAAACAACAGTACTGACAGGAGTTGGAAGTGATCAAGTAACAGCCTAGTTTACCATTACTGGTGGTGAGCAAGGCCAAATACAAAGTCACGTCCCCTCCTCTCTTAGCTTGCCATATCAGGGGCTTTCCCTCACGGAGGCCAGATGCCTTATCAACCCTAATGGCATATTACCTTCCAAAAGCTCACTCGCATTGCTCCTCAGACTCACAAGTAAATGCATAGATAAGTCGAGTCCATATAACACCTCCCCAGACACTCGCCTTCCTGGTTGGTTAGTAGTTTGGGATTTGGACCTATCAACTGCCAGGGTCATTGAGGTCATCAACGTCAAACTACATCCACCAACAGAAATATCCTTAACACCTTCAGGTGTTAAGGATAATTCTAAGACCACATACACTCACTAAGTATGTAGCCCTTGACTTGTGCTCTCCTACACATAGCTCACCCCCCCCATCAATACCTACCCCACCCCCTTGTGACCTAATAAGGCCCTGAGCTCGAGGGTATGGAGGGGGATGGATGATTAATTTTGACTGTGACTGTACTTGTTGGGTTATTTTGGAGGACTAGCTGCTACTCTTAAGATAAAGGCAGGTAACAGTTTATTTGGACACTGAAGGAAGGAAAAAAGACAAATAAATAAACAGAGCAATTACCATAAGGCAACCTGCATAGTGAAAAATTGAAAGGGGAAGTTAAGCTTGGAGAATTATACACTCTCTGCTATGAATAATACCCTCCTAGCCCTGCTTGAGCAGAGATTGAACCATTTCTTACATATAGTAATGTGGAAAACATACCTCTGAATTAATTCAAGTGCATCTTTGGGCGTAAATTCCTTAAGCTGCCGATCCATGTTATCTTTAAACCAGACCAATTTATCACCTAAAAACTGAAGCTTCGCATTGCTCTCTCCTCTTCGTTTCTGTAATTTTAGTTGTCTGAAAAAAAAAGAAGTAATTTGTTTAACATTCAATGACAACCAGCTCTTGTGGAAAAATAAGGGAATGATCTTGAAATCCCATTCTATAGTTGAACACAGATTGGACAACTTCTGTACAATTAATAGTTTAAGAGGATGAAAACCTAAATCTCAGGACCCCTGACATGTGTGATGACGAGCTAATACAGTATACCTGTATTAAGTTATAAAGTATCACTCCTAGCCAGCAGCAGATCTGCAGCCAGTGCAAATCAGTGTGTAATAATATTGTGAACAGTTTGGTGATGATTGGGTGGGGAGGCAATCTGCTAACTTATTGATTGAGTGAAGTAAGCATGGCAGTCACAGGGTGACGAGACGTGAGGGTAAACAAAAAATCAGGTGAATCAGGTAACACTGGCAAGAGGATTGTTAGGTCAATAAGTTCTGGGTGTGTGTGTCATGGTGATGTAATGTGAGGTAGTGTTACTGAGGAAGGTAGTTAAGACACAAAATAGGTTTGCTTAGGAGGCCAGGTGGTAGTAAGAGTGTTAACCCCCACAAACAATAGAGCAATTTGGTTCAAAGGGCATCAGCCACTGTGAACAAGATACTTTTCATGATTATCAGGAGCTTGTAGACAAACCCTACAACAAACATAGTGCATACCTGAACTGCCAACTCAACTTGTCTTGTCAATGGGATCAAATACCAGTTACAGTAATTACTGTAACAGGAAAGCCTCATCAATATCATCTGGTTGCATTTTGGAATACCAAGCCTGGTACAAACCCATAGTGAATTGGAAGCAATGATATTTGTCGGGACAACTCAGACTTATCAAGTAAATGAGTCAAAACCAAAGTTTACTAATTGAATAATCCAGCCCAGATTTAATCAAATGCTAGGGACCTGGAGGACGTCCCTAATATCCTATTAATGAACACTTGGAAACACCCAACTCCCTCACGAGAATAACATGTGACGGCCCAGTATGTATTAGAGGAAATTATATAAAAACTAGCAGAGGAACCCTGCTTCACTAGAGGGAGGAACAGGAGATAGTGCATGACCATCCTCTATTCACCCGCACTGCCCTACCAAATTTCAGCTCTCCATCTTCTAAATTGTGGAAATGCATAAGGATCAAACAAACAGAATGATCTTATCGTCATCACCACCATTTTATGGCCATTTTCCACATTTATGGGGGTTTAACCACAATTATCTGATATCATGATGTCCTTGGTTGCCATTACAAAATTTTTAAGCAAAATATTTTCTGGATGCCCTTCCTATATCGTAGTCACTTTTACAAAGTGGGAATTGGACATTATATGTACAACTTCAAAGCACCCTCTTAGCTGGCAAGGCAGGTATTCAAAAATTACCCACCTACTTTATCCATTCTTATTATAATGGGAAAAGATTTTACATACATGTGCTGTAATTTACTTATTTAGAAAGACTTAAAATAGGGTAAAATAAAATTTCAAATAGCTTACCTACTGAATTTTTTGGATAACTGTTTTGCTTTTCTGCTCCTTGGATGTACAGCTTTTTGGTTTTCCTTGATAATATTCAATTTTGGTTTAGCCTGAAAAAGGATAAATGAAATTAAAAAAAAAAAAAAAAATCACTGAGATGTTAATTTACAGTTACAGCAGGGGTGGGCAAAGTGCGGCCCACGGGCCACATTTGGCCCGCCAAATTATTTCTGTGGCCCGCCACTGCATTTGGCAATCAGAAAAAAAAAATTCTTATTAATTACAGAAAGGACAATTTTGGAAGTTGGGTGGACATAGTAGCAATACTGGCTCGTCGCTGTTAACCTGTGGCCCGCGAAGTGTGCCACCATTCATGAAGTGGCCCTCCATCAAAAATAATTGCCCACCCCTGAGCTACAGTGTACCAAAAGTAATGTACTGTGCAGTACAGGTATAGTATATTTGCTGTGGCGAGGCAAGAGTTTCATGAACTATTATGCAAGCTTTAAAAAATATGGAATTTAAGGTCCTGCAGATATTGGACACTCACGGTAAAATAGCGTTAGTAGGAATTTGGCAGGTTAAATATTATTATCCAAACCTCTAACCTGTTAAACATTAAACCATGACGACCTTTACATACCATTTTTTAGAAAGTGGTATATTAAATCTTCTCCGAGTTAGGAAAAGTTAATGAAGTGTTCTATACCAACAATACACCACGTGAAATGTTTGTTTACATCTCAAGGTACAAGAACGCAAGTCTGGATTCCAGTAACTTCCCGTGACGTCATCAAGAACGACAATGTAGGAATAAAATGTGGAAACGTGTAAAAAATTTAACTAATTCACCTATGATCACTACAACTAGTGGTGGACTATTAGGGTGATAGCTTGTATTGAATCCTATTTTAAGGATCACACTTGTTCCTGCTTCCACCACTTTTATTGAGAGACTTCCATAGTTCTTCCACTCTCTTCCTAATGCATTATTTATTTTCTTGTGTTCAATGTACTGCACTAACAGTTCTCTTCCCCTCACCTCCAGAAGAAATACAGTATTTAACAATGAGTAAAATATTTAAGTTTTTACCAAAGAACTCGGTCACTATTATGTTCACATTTCCGCTCCCTAGCACAAAATATGTTTCAGCTATTGCCCAAAAAGCAAAGAAAACAAAAATGTGACACTATTGTGTCCAAATTTCAGTTCGCAGGTCAAAAGAAACTTGCCTGAAAAAGTAAGTAAGAACAGTAACAAAATAAATAGAGTAAACTAATTGACTTCCAAACCTTGATTTCATTTTTAGTGAACCTGGAAATGTTTGGTGCATATTTTAATAATAATAATAATAATAATAATAATAATAATAATAATTGACGGTTTATTGAAAAAGTTCTGCAGCCCGAAGGCTGAAAATATACATTGGACATAAATGACTTATTACATACATTGGTAGTTTAACAAAAGCCTTCATTAGAGAAAGGTAAAGGAACATACAGTGAACATACAGATTAATGTAGGTGTTGAACAGCAAACTCGTAGTGTAGTAACTCCCTCACAGATGGTGTTTGAGGGACCTCACGTGATGTAGTGTCACAGGTTCCCTCACAGATGGTGTTATGAGGCCTCACGTGGTGTAGTAATTCCCTCACAGATGGTGTTATGAGGGACCTCACGTGGTGTAGTAATTCCCTCACAGATGGTGTTATGAAGGGCCCGTGGTGTAGTAATTCCCTCACAGATGGTGTTATGAGGGACTGACGTGTGTAGTAATTCCCTCACAGGTGGTGTTATGAGGGACCTGACGTGGTGTAGTAATTCCCTCACAGATGGTGTTATGAGGGGCCTCACGTGGTGTAGTAACTCCCTCACATATGGTGTTATGAGGGACATGTGGTGTAGTAATTCCCTCACAGATGGTGTTATATGAGTGAGGTGTGGTCCCAGGCCTTCCTATCGTAGACGGATTAACACATCGCTGGTTGTTGTTGGGTCTCACGGGCCGTTATCACTGGGTACCTGGGACCTCACTGTGTGAAGGTCAACTTGGGTACCACTGTTACTGTTGAGTTGTTCTCACTGACTTAAGCACTGTTCACCACTGTTCACCTCTGTTTAACACTGGTTCCATTCCTTTCCTAAATGAAGTAGTAACTTCTGGCGAGAACTTGTTGATATTCCGGTGGGGAAGAGGGTTCAGGGGAGGGGGTTGGTATGGGCCAACTTAACAGTTGACCTGGCTGCTCCGAGAGGAGCGCCAGGTACGTCTTGACCCTTCGGTGGTCAAGGATGTAGTGTGTGTGTGTGTTTCTGCACCTGTCGGGTATTCTCATTCAAACTATAGATGATACCACCTCAGCACCCTTGAGGAATTTGAGATTTTCAAGATGGCGGACAATATGGCCGCTAAATAAGAAAATCTGCATATATTATGGCTGTTTATCATTTACTCACAATAAGTTTGGTGCCATTTACATGTTCAAATTCTTTCGTCATAAATATATATATATATTTTAATACTTTTGGTATAGATCATTTGTATGCCGAAGTTGTTCAACAAGTTACAATAAATTCTTCACAAAAGTATATAAATAATTATTTTGATACCTTGATAAAGATTTCCTTTTCTCGTATTGTTTTATGGGAATTTATACATTTTCAGGTTACAAGATTTTCTCCTTACACTGAAAGCGATATGTATACAAATCGATATTTCAACATGAAAACGTGATGTGCACACCAAGAACTCTTGTATATCCTGCTTATGTGTTCACGGTAAATTTGTTTAAGCACACACACACACAGATGGCCGGATTAAGGTTGATAAAAGAGAAGGGCTCACAGGGATCCTTCTGCAGCTCTTCACAGTCTGTTTGGTTCTTAATTTCCCTAAATAACTTGGCATCGTCCGCTAATATTTGTATGGAGGAGTGTATAGCTTCTGGCATGCTATTAATGAAGGAAACAAACAACAGCGGGCCAAATACACAGCCGTGATACCCCGCTTGTGACGGGTACAGATGATGATTTCATGCCAGTAATCACCACACACTGCTTGAGATCGTAGAGAAAGTCTCCAATGCACGCTAGAACACTCCCCAGAATCCCGTACCCTTCCAGTTTAATGTTCAGCCTCTCATGGAGTACGCTGTCGAAAGCCTTGGGCAAAATCTAGGTATATATTGTCGATATTACCACCCTGTTCTAGAATTCGGGTCCAAATATCCAGTACTTTGAGTATATATATATATATATATATATATATATATATATATATATATATATATATATATATATATATATATATATATATATATATATATATATATATATATATATATATATATATATATATATAAGACCAGGCGTGTGTGTGTCTGTTCTGGGCAGCCAAAACGTCACAATCGTTTTTCATCAAACTTGGTGGAAAAATCGCAAAAAATTCGTAGAGTGGAACAAACCTGGTCCCATGTCGATGGTTTCTTTAGGAAGGCATTAGTTAACAATTTTATTTACCATGGAAAACGATGCAAGTCTACGGACTTGGCGCACCCTAATTAACCGTGCAAGTCTACGGACTTGGCGCACCCTCATTCGCTGTACGCTGTCACGAGCGTTCAAACTCTCACAAGGGCACGAACGTGCCCGCGATCACTTGTGTGTGTAAATATATACACACACAAGTGATCGCGGGCACGTTAACAAAGATCAAGAGTGAGAAACATTATACTGTATGTATATTGTGTTGTCAAAACAAGAGAAACAATTGAGACCCTGCAATTGTGTAAATGAGGCACAAAGTCAGATTAGCAACCTGGGACTTGGTCACAATTTTTGTGATGCCATATGGCAGCAGGGTCTACCCTTAGACAACACATTATGCTTCCAATATCTTCCCAGGCGGTATACCTTCCTGTTTGGTAGCTGCCTACTACCTATAGCTATGATTGTTATGTGAATATATATTGGAGTAAACATTTGTGTATGATTGCCTATGTATGATTTATTATTTGAAATACTAAGAATGAATTGTATTCAACAGTTTTGACAGAATTATAACGTTCGGATTCAACGTGACGGATCTGATTATTCCTTAATAGCTCAGAAGGCGATTATACTGCTAAACATTATTAAGATACAGTATTATAGTTTTACTGTATTATTGTTTGTGGAAACATGTACAAGTTAATGATAAACCGGTCAATAATAATATTGATTTTGATTTAACTGAGTGTACTGAGAGAAAAAGTCTAGACTGTGTATCGAAATTTTCATCTTATTTTCTTCATGGGTCTAGTGTTAGTACTGAAGAAAGTGGAGTAACTACCGAAAACTTACTATGTTCGTTAGCGTCACGTATCGGGGCCAAGCGGGAGTCCCGGGTCGAAATGAGAGAGGTAAGCGAGATGCCTACGTAGCACCAACCGCAGCATTTTACGTGTGTGTGGTGTGATACAGTAATATACCAGGAGTACAGCGCTGCTGAAGCCACACCACTGTAAAGGTGCTTTACACAGTTCTGGAGTTTTTCAGGTGTTTCAGGGGAAGCCACGTGGGTTAATGCTTTCCCATTGCCGGAACGACGGCGCCTGGTTGGTTGATTTGTTAAGTAATGAAAGACGAGTTGCAGTATTATTTTTATCAATTTGTAATTTTAGCCCTTTTTCGTGTGCCATGTTTGTACTTACTGACTTATCTCACTGCCTCAGCTAATCAGACGCCGTCGTTCTGCTGGGTAAATCAAGAGGCTTTAGTTCATGTTGTTTGATTGTTATCTCTTAACGCTGTTACACGGTTATCTTGAGTTGTCAACATAAGTTTTTATTAGACATTTATCTTCAAAAGAATAATTTAGAACTATAGTAGGTGCTGTGACACATGGTAGCAACACGTCCAGAGGCTACTTGGTCATCAAGACTGCATTACTTTTACTTTTATCCTCTTCACCACTGATCGGCTCGTTAGCCGCTTCGGCGATCGTTTACGTCTCTGTTACGCACTGTTGGCAAGTACTTGACATGCACTGGCTCCTGAATGTACTTGAACCTGCTCCAGTGCTTGTCAAGTCTGGTCTTGAATGAGCTCACACTCGGTGCCGTCACAACACTCTCTGGTAGATTGTTCCAAGAGTTTACAACCCTCACTCAGAAAAAGTTTGCCCTCACAGTTTTCTGGACTTGCGGCTTCTTCAACCTTGAGCTGTAACCCCTTGTGGGGCGAGCGTCCGCCAGCTCCAGGTATAAGGGCACTCAACTGAGTAGTGCCCTTTGAGATGCTTACACACCTCAATTAGGTCCCCCCTAGCCCCACTGTAGTATAAGCTAGGCAAGTTCAGGCGCTCCAATTGCTAAGGACTTAAAACGCGTATACTAAATTAGTAATAACTAAAACTAATGAGTTACACTGCCCCAACCCGTGGAAACAAGAACAGTACTGGGCTTCAGAATACTCCTATGCAAGCCTATCAAGAATAATGGAGGTATCCTAAACAGGGACTGTCAGTTGGTAGAAAATGTTCAAAGGAGGGCCACCAGACTGGTGCCTGCACTTCGGCACCTCAGCTACCCTGAGAGATTGGAGCGCCTGAACTTGCCTAGCTTATACTACAGACGGGCAAGGGGTGACCTAGATGAGGTGTATAAGCATCTCAGGGGGCACTACTCAGTCGAGTGTCCTTACTTGGAGCTGGCGGACGCTCGCCCCACAAGGGGTCACAGCTCAAGATTGAAGAAGCCGCAAGTCCAGAAAACT